CCATGGCCAGAGGTATTAGAGCAGGGCTGTGCTCTGTGCCCACAGCAGCAGCTGGGTGCTGTGCCTGCAGCCAGGGCAGCCCAGCATCCAGCAGGGCAGCAGCCTGGCAGGGCTGCAGCCACCAGGTGTTATGAATAAAAAGTTATCTAATTTTTTTTTTAAGGTTGCAGAGAAAAACAAGTTGGACCAGTGCTGTTAAGTTAGCTTCATTGTTAAGAGTTCTTCTTCAATTACCCGTTAATGGTTGGTGATTAACCATTGTGCCCCTGATGCTTGCCAGGGATCCTGCGGGCATCAGGAGAATGGGAGTGGCATCAGAGCTAGTATGCAGATGAGAAATGCATTGCACCCAATTTTGCAGTTTTCCAGGAAAACCCCTAAAAATAACGAGCCAACATAGAACTAGGGGACCTAAGTGATGTCTAAGGATGGGAGCGTAGTCCAGTGACTGCTTGGATCCTTTTTGATTCTCACCCTAACCTGAAAAGATGTTGACTAGAGAGACGACCCGAGGTGTTGGACCGAAAAGGCAGAATCTCCTCATCTCTCGTGAGGACGGAATCCCCAGTTCTGCCTGCAGATCTGCGGACAAAGCCGCATCACCCTCCTCCTCCGTGCCGCTCCTGGGAGCAATGGCGGCGTAGGCGCGACCCGTCGATTTCTCCCCACCTGAGCTGATTCTTTTCAATAAAGGCATTAAAAAGGAGAAAGATCTCCTGCCTGTTCATTTCACATGGCTTCAACAAGCCCTGCCATGATCCTTTGGAGCCGTCACAAGCTCACACTCGGTTTGTAAGGCAGTCTGGAGCAGATTTATTGACCGCCACACTGCAGGGGACAGAGGGAAGGGAAGGGAAGGAATGCCCAAAATCCAGCTCCAAGCCCTGCCAGGACCTCCACAAGGATCTGAATGGGAGGAAGAGCTGGATGCTGCCAGCAGTAAAGATTCTGGCTGGAAAAGCACTGGGATGCTTCAGCAGGGAGCACAGGGCCCTGCAAGCACCTGTGGCCCCTCACACACACCTGAGCTCTCCGGGCTCCCAGACCCACTCTGACCCCACCTGGCCACTGCAGCTGCCACAATCCAGCTGGGAGAGCAGGGAAATGCCTCCAGGGTTCCCCTTGGTGCCCTGAACACTTGGCTTCCTCCAATACAAGAGAAGATGCAGGAGGAGATGGGAGGAAAGCACAGAACCGAGTGAAACCCAGCAGAACAGAGCCCTGCCTGCCCACATCAGCCTCCAGAGCAGGGCCCACAATCTGATTTTGCTCCCACACTAACCAGCCACAGCAGCTTCATACCAAATTAATGCCTATGAGCTCCAAACATCTTGAATTTTATGGGAATAAATCACACCTGACTCCATTTTCTTCAGTACGGAAAAAGCCCATTCTTTATGCACATAACTCAGTTTTATCCAGTTTTACAGAGCTCATGTGTGTCTCATTGGTTAGAAGCTTTCTTGCCAATAATTAATTAGTAACGAGTTGTTATTCTGATTAATTGGTCACTCAAACCCCCAGGGTTTACATGCAGGGACAGTTGTTTGTGAGAGATGTTTTTACACCATTAGATGGAAAAATGAAAACCAGTTTCTACAGGTGCTGGTTGTTTTTGCCCAGGAATAGATTGTTATGTTAATGAACTGCTCACACCAGGATTGCTTTCACAGGGGACCTTGCAAAGGGCCAGCTTGACAAGGCCAGCCACTGATTCCAGGAGAGCAGGCTTGGTTTTATGATTTCTTTATGATTTTTCTACTTTATTGCAACAAGTTTTTCCAATCACAAGCCCTCGAGGTGACCCAGAAATTGGAACCAGACAGCTCCTGGCTGGGCAGGGCCTCAGCTCCCTGAGCAGCCCTGCAGGGAGGCCTCAAACCTGTTTTATACCCAGAGCATTCTGCAGCAAGAAATAACCCAGCTCTGGAGAAGGGATGGCAATACCCAGGAGTGACAGGAAACATGGAAGGGAGAAGGGGAAATTAAACTCCTTGCAAGCAGCTACAGAGCTTTGCCGTCCAGCACTTCCCTTTCCCAATCTATTGCCTTAAAAAAGCTGCTTGGGATACTCTCCTCAAACCTGCCCTCTGCCAGGTAGGAAGACATGGAAATAAATTGGTTAATGCCTCCTAATTTCACTCGTAAGAAGTGTCAGCCCGAGGAGACCCCGGCCCAGCAGCAGCACATTCAGTCCCTGACCCACAGCTCAGGCATTTGACAGAGAACAGCAGGAGGGAAGGAAGAACAGCAGCAGGGCACGAACATGAGAGTGAAATAATGAAAATGTTACAAGAACTGGCAGAGGGATGAGGTGGCATCCCAAAGTGGAACAAGAAGGAGGTGCCCCTGTGAGTGCATTTAAAGTTTAAATCAGCCCAGAGTGAGCTGGCACAGGGCAATCACCAGGGCAATAATTAGCAGAATTAAGGAGCACTGCAGCATTCCCCAGGGCTGCTGAGAGCAGAGGAGCTGCCCCAAGGCACAGCTTCCCTGCCAAGGTGTTGGCTGGGGGTTGTCACATCACCAACACATTTCTCACCTCTGTCCAGAACTCCTCAAAAAAAGCATGGAGAATCATCTGAGCTTGGAGACAATGAAGAACAGCCTGGATGCTTTCCCAGAGCTCAGAGGAGCTTCAGCCTTAAACACTGCAGGAAGCCAGTCTGTTCATCATTCCCAGCTTCTTCCCACCTTTATCCCCTGCGGCTTCTGCAGCATGGATGAGAGCAGATCAAAGTTAAAAGTGAAACTCTTCCCATGTGCAGCTGCTCCGAGTTCTGCTTTCCAGGCTGGTGTAAGAAGTCTCCATGGCTCTCTGAATCTTTGGATGCTGAACAGTAAAATGGGGAGAGGCTTCCACTCCTCAAACTCTGCTTGAGGAGCCTCCTCTTTTCAAGCTGCCACAGGAAGGGCCTTTCAGCCTGTGGCAGCTCTTCTGCTCCAGTCTCTGTAGACTTTGTGGAGGCTTTTTCAGCTTTACAGGAGCTGGGCTGTTCATCAGCAGCTCCAGCACAGGGAGATTGCAGCCACAAACAGCACTGGAGTTCCCAGAGGCTCCCACAAGCTGTGGGCTCAGGCAGCCAGGAATGTTCTCAGTAAATAGATTTAATGGCCATGCAAGAACACATCCCCCTGATCCATGGGCAGGAAAAACAGGATTTGCTGGGCTAAGCGCTATGTTAGCATGGCTCAGATGTGCTGCACTGGCAAATCAATAGCAAGTGTGGGAATGCCCAGCTATTCCTTAGAATTCCCTTTTATAATCAGGCAAGTTTAAATTTCAGCCATTCTTGGGTGGTAAGGGACAACTCTGCTATTGAGAGGAATGACAGATTTGTCTTTACAATCCAACTGTGGGTGTGCTGGTAGATAAAACCAGCACTGAGAGATAAAAGAAGCAATGGGAAAGGGTTCCACTGATTGATGAATGGAAAAAGATATTTGCTTTTACAAATAAACTGTAGGTTTGCTGATAAATGAAATTAAACATTGAAAGATGAAAGAAACAATGGGGAAAAACCCTAAATTCCATAAGAATGAACAATCAAAAGGGAGAGTTATACATTAGAGGAGAATCTCTGGTATCAGGTGTTTTGGGAAGTCTGAACCTCTCAAGTACCTCAGCCAATGGGGAAAGAGAGAAGGGAAATGTGGCTGGGAAATTGGGATAAATAGGGGGCTGCGTCCTCCAAAACTTGGAGAGAGCCCAGGGGAATGCCCCATGGCCTCTCCCTTTATTGGAATAAAGTAAAAGGACTCCTCTGTCTCCTTTTGGACACAAACCTCTGATGGTTGTGGATTAAATTTCCTGACACTATGAAGAAGACAGCACACATTTATCTCCCACCAAGCAGCAGGACTGGCTGCAATAGCTCCAATATCCCCAATTCCCAGTCCCCAAGTCCAGCAGGAGTTACAGGAGCCAGACCTGCTGAACTTTTCTCCAGAGAGAATTCCCTCTGCAGCTGAGAGCACAGAGTGACCCCTGCAATTCCTCTCTCGCATCTCAGCATCACCTCAGCCTGGCAACTTAAACTGCCTGATTATTTTGCCTTCAGCACAAACTGGTTGCTACAGGAGGAAGACCCTTGTCTGGTACCTGCTGAGCTCAGGGAATCAGGATTCAAATTCCTCCATGTGGGGGTTGTCCTGTATGAAGGAATAATTGCTGCCCAAACCCAGAGCTTCAGCACAAAGCCTTCACACACAGGATGAGGAAGAGGAGTGCTGCTGGAAAAGTGGTCACTTCTAGGTGAGAGAGGAGCAACTTCCACCTCTTCAAGTCTGCAGTCACCACCCAAAGGAAGCCCCATCCCCAGTCCCTGTCTCTGACCCCCACAAAACAACTTGAATTACCTTTAAATAAAAAAAAAATAACTCTGGAAGAAGCAGTACTTACATGAGAGCAGATTCCACTTCTGGTCTTGAAGACAGAGGGATCAGAGGCCAGGAGCAGAGATTTTCCTCTCCAAGTCCTACAGGCACCTGGTCCATCAGCCCAACCCACTGCATTGCCTGGCCAGTCTGAAGGCATTGGGCTCCTCAGCCTCTCCCAAAAGGAGCTGGATGTGGCACTGGCAGAGTCTGAGCTGCCCAGAAACCCTGTGCTGGCAGCAGGTGACCATCACACACAGCCTGGTGCCCCCACCACTGAGCTCCCCCACCTCCCACCCCCCTCCATCAACCTCCTCCAGGCAGCAGCAGGGAAATGCAGGAGGAGAACTTGGCCTTGGAGGAGCAATGGCAAAGGATGCTCTGACAGCTCTCCCAAGCACAGGGCAGTGCCAGCAGGGCACGTGTTTGCCTCCAGGCTTGGGAGAGAAAAGGAATTACAATTACCAGCTGTGATCCTGTATAGCTCACTGCTCTTCCTCCAGCCCTGAGTGCACAGTGGAATTGCACCAAGGAAGAGGTGGAAGAGCACAGCTCACACCCACTGAGCAATCCTCCCAAGTCTTTGTCCCAGAGAGACCAGAGACAGGGTTTTGTATGCAGCAGTTTTATTTCAAGCAGTTATCACCCAGCACAAGCAGCTTTTAGGAAGACAATTCTTTCCACTTTCCCCTTACTGAGGGTTTAATGCCAACAGCCATTATTGTTTTATCCTTTACATGGGGGTGCTGGAGGTTTCCAGGTGCCCAGCTCCTGCTGCCCCTGCTTCCTCCTGGGAGGATTGATCCTCCTCCTCCTCCCTGGGGGAGGAGGGTCCCACCAGCCAGGACAGAGGAGTGCTGTTCTTCAGGTAATCCAGCAGCTCCTCCATGTACTCCTGGATCACAGCCAGCTCCCTCTGGCCCTGGCTCAGGACACTGCTGGACAAATCCTGGCAGGAGTTTGCCCTTGAGAAAGCAGCATGCAGCTCCTGGCTGGCAGCCAGAGCCGGCTGCAGCCTGTCCTGCAGGCTGCAGGGGAGGCCCTGCAGGGCAGCCAGCACCCCGGAGCAGGTGAGCTGCAGCTGCTGGCTGAGCCTGCGAGCCATCAGCAGCGTCAGGCACTCCAGCTCCTGGGGGGAGGCAGGAAGGACACCGTCAGCAATGAGGCACTCAGAAATCAAGGGGATGCCCGGAGCCCTTTGCCTCCCTCCCCAGGAGGTACCTCTGGCTCCACAGGGCTTTCATCTCCACTCTCTCTGAGATACTTCCTACTCCAGTCCAGCCACATCTGGTGTAGTTTCTCCTGCTCCTCCTGAAGCTTTTGATTAAATCCTTGCTTAAAAGCCTCAGCCTGTGGCAGGGGAAGAGCAGAGAGCCAGGACAGACAGATCAGCTGGAACTGCAAAGCTCCTCAGCACAGCAACAAACTGAGACAAGACCAGGGCTCTGGTTCCCTGCTCTACCTACCAGCTGGAGGATGCAGTGGAGCTGTGCCAGGGCCCCCTGCATGCCCTGCCAGAGCTGCTTGGTCCTGGCTGTGGAGTGCAGCTGTGCAGAGAGGCGCAGGTCCTGCGAGAGAGAGCCCGGGTGCACAAAGCACCTCCTGTGCTGCTGCAGGGGCACGGCCGTGCCCTCCTCACACACTGCCAGCTGGGCTGGGGACACAGGCAGTGCCCGGGTCAGAGGTGCCACAGGGTGCTCAGAGCAGCTGGGGCTGCCCCTGGATCCCTGGCAGTGCCCAAGGCCAGGATGGACAGGGGGCTTGGAGCAGCCTGGGGTGGTGGAAGGTGCCCCTGCCCATAGTGAGAAGCCCAAAATGAGCTTTAAGGTGCTTTCCAACCCAAACCATTTTGGGATTCTCTTCTTCCCATTATCCCCATTGCAGAGTAGTGGGGTGAGGAATGGGGTTGACCATCCCCAGTCCAACAGTTCCCACCTTCATAGCCACAGCCACCCTTTCCTTACCTAGCTCCTCATTTCCAACAGGGAGAGAGCCACCTTCTGCTGTCCCCAGCACAGCCTCTGCTCCACAGACATCCCTCTGTCCCCCTGCAGGCCCCAGCCCAGCAGCGCTGGTCTCTGCAGGTGTGGCAGCCCCCTCACTGCCCTGCAGAGCATCCCTGGTGACATCCAGCACCTCCAGCACTCTGCTGCTCACAGCCTCCTTCACCTCAGCCACTCTGGCTGACAGCAGCTCCTTTGTGTCAGAGAGGATCTGGGGAACAGGGGGAATGGCAGGTAATGGAGTGGGTGGTGTCTCACACTGAAATTCTGAACTGCACCAAGAGCACAAATAGCACAGTGTCAGTTCAGTGTTTGCTCAGGTGTGTGAGCTACATCCCTCCCTAGCTTAGAAATCCCTCAAGAACCAGGCCCCTCTGCCTGCCAGGGACAGCACAGCCTTTAATTCCTACCTGTTCCACTGGCTTTGGAAGGAGTGGCAGCTTCTCCCCCAGTTCCCCCAGTTTATCCAAGCCCTTGGCAGCATACTTCCTCACTGCAGTGACCGAAGAGAGAACAAAAAAAAAAAAAAAAGTCAAAATGTGGTTTTCTGCAAGTTCCACCTTGCAAAAATCAGTTTAGGAAAATCAGCAGAGTCCATCCCTGACCCTCCCTCACACTGCTGGGATTAGGGCCCAGCTTTAGCCTGATTTACAAGCCATGGATGCCCTTGCACTATGGCAATGGAGGGGCGCTTTCCTCACCCCAGGACTGCTCCCAGGTGTGAAGGAGCCAGAGAGCCCCTCCCAGGCAGGGATTTACCGTGGGGCTGCACACAGCTGGCCTGGGTCACTCTGTGCACGCCCTGCCCTGCACACTCACTCCTCAGGCAGGGCTGGCTCTCCTTGCTGGAGGCATCAGCTGCAGAAACCACACCACAGGCAGAGCTCGGCAGGCTCAGAGTGGGCACCTCCTTCACTGCAGCCTGCAAGAGCAAAGGAAAGCTCAGCCATGAAGCTCCAAACGGGGCCCTGAGCAGTTCTGCCCTGGAATTCCCTCTTGGGGAGGGATTGCCACCAAACCACCTGGCCTGCCTGAGAGAGAAACTCTTGCCTTGCTCACACACCTAATTAAACCATAACTCAGTTATGAAATGAGCTGGGGAGCTTTGGCCTGAATGACTGTCCTTCCCAGGAAAATTTTCCTCTAGCACAAAGAACACCACGTTTGGAGGTGACTTTAATTCTCCTGCCACATACCCATCTCCAATTTACCTGGAATGCTATTTCCAATAGCCATTTTCCAAATAAGCCAATATCCCAAGAAAAGCTCCCCCAGGCAGGACTGAGTTGGTTTTAAGCTGACAGACTTGGCTACAGGAGCAGAGCAAGAGCAGCAGGTCTCAGGGAGGCTGAAACATTGCAGTCTTTCCATGGGAGCCCTGCTTGCCAGGAGCTCACGTTAGAGATCCTTTCTAGCCAAGAACCAGCTAATTTTGCTGAGCCTAAGAGGTTACAGGGACTTCAGGTCCATATCTTTGTCTGTGCTGTCCCCCAGAAGCTGCAGGGCACAGCCTGAGCAAACCCCCATTTCTGGAATGCTATTTCCAATAGCCATTTTCCAAATAAGCCAATATCCCAAGAAAAGCTCCCCCAGGCAGGACTGAGTTGGTTTTAAGCTGACAGACTTGGCTACAGGAGCAGAGCAAGAGCAGCAGGTCTCAGGGAGGCTGAAACATTGCAGTCTTTCCATGGGAGCCCTGCTTGCCAGGAGCTCACGTTAGAGATCCTTTCTAGCCAAGAACCAGCTAATTTTGCTGAGCCTAAGAGGTTACAGGGACTTCAGGTCCATATCTTTGTGTTGTCCCCCAGAAGCTGCAGGGCATAGCCTGAGCAAACCCCCATTCCTGGGGGCTCAGCTCCCCTCAGCCACAGCAGGGCCCCTCCTCACCCTGCACCCCAGAGCTGCCCCTCCTCACATCCCACAGGGAGCACCAACCTCCTGCTCCTGCTCCACCTCTGGGGAGCTCTGGGCAGCCTCCTCCTTGCGGGGCACAGCAGAGGCCATGGCAGCTGGAATGCAAGGAACACCAAGGCTTTGGGAAAGATCCCCCTCCAAGGGGACACTTCCCCCCAGGGTCATAAAAGAGAGAAGTTCCTTTACAGCCTCTCCAGGGGAAACCCCAAATAGCCTCAGAGGGGGGGGTCTGTGCCACTTGCAAATCCACCCAGTTTAAGCTGAAGTTCCAGGTGGTTTGTGATCATCAAAGGAACAAGGAGAGCATTATTTCCTCACCCTAGAGACCAAATATTATTAATATGTTTATTTGAGAGAGAGGCACAAGGTACTTCCTTCAGTGACCTGTTGTCCATTTTTAGGGTGGACCTGGGGGGCTTTGTCTGCCCAAAGCATACCTGAAGACCCCTCAATAAATATAACTGCTTTTTCACCCTCTCAATTTTGCCCAGCCTCTGTTTTTAGGTAGAGGCCCCAGAAAAGGCATCACCTCCCCACCGAGGCTTCAAGAAACTCTTAACTAAAAGAAACAACAGCAACAGAACTGAGGGTAAACAGGGCTCAAGGATCTGTCCTGCTGCTGCCACACCCCAACACCCAAAATTCCCCCTGGAAGCTCTAGAACAGCACCTGTGTTACCTGCTGGAGGTGAGCAGAATCACAGCAAGGATGAACCCAACACACTCCATCATCTCTCCTGCCTTTTGATGGTGCCTGGGGTGGGGCAAGGCGGGACCCTCAGGGACTGACAGCTCTGGGAAGCAGCAGGAGAGCTGCCCTGGCCAGTTAGAGGGGAACAAGGTGCTGGGACTCCTTAATTACTGTTAATTACTCTGCATTACGCTGCAGTTAGGCAGGCACACTTTGCCCTGTGTGAAGCAGCTTCACTTGGAGGCCTCCATTTCATCAGCAGTGACTATGGGAATGTGTCTAGTAAGCTTTGTGATGTTACACACTTTTATTTAAACTATATGCTGGTAATCTCAGCGCTATTAATTAATTTTGGATGAATTCTTTACAGCTTTAGGTTAAATACAGTATTTTCTTGTGGGTTTGTGTTTTTAGCACAGAAAGTTTAAAATTCTCAGCAGCTAGGGGTCCAGCAGGAATGTGTGAAAGCAGTTTCCTATTCTTGCATGAATGATATTTAATGATTAATCATGTTCCTAGATTAGGAATGAGCAATAAGATTTCAGGTTATTTAAGGGGAACTTAATCTCTAAGTTTGTCTGGGGTGCCACAAGCCTTTGCCAAGCATGTTGAGTGCTCTCTGACCAGTTGTCTACAGCTCTCCTTTTGGATTTTGAATCTCCCTGGATTCTGAACATTGCAAGTAATTTAATTTATTTATTTATTTATTTATCAAAATGGTTTTTCAAATGGCAGACGCTAAGTACCAAAGATCATCATTTTTACACTAAGTATATGGCATTATCTGTGCTTTCTAAGGCACGCCTTAATGGTAAACTCAGTGCTAGGAAAAGGAGCAAAACCACTTTGGAATGGCCCTGGCTGCACAAAGATCACAGTCTCGTGCAGTTCTCTGAGTGATGAGCCTGGCTGACTGTGAGGCTGCCAAACAAACTGTGTGAATGGCCAGGAGCTGCTGCTGGAGGCTCACCCAGGCAGTCTGGGGGTTTTTCACACTGCCTGGTGTCTGCTGGGTACCTGCTGCTGATTCCCGACTTCTGGGACTCAGGCTGGGCCCTCCCTGGGGGCTCTCCTGTCAGGGGAGACCCTTCTGGAGCAGTCTTGAGTCAGGAAAGAGAGACACGCTGGATTATTTCAGTCTTCAGGTTCTTGTTTATTATTATCTTATCTAAAGTTTTGCACGCAGTCCACACCAGGTTCAGTGTGCTGGAAAAGCACCACAGAAATGCCCAAGAATCTCTTGTTACAAGCTCTGTTAAGACTAAACTATCCAATTAAGAACTGGTACCCAGAGTATTTCCCTTTTAACCCTAATAACAGCTCCCAAAGAGCCCACAATGCAGACTTTTCTGCCCAATTACAAAATGCCACCCAAAGTCATGAAGAAGAAGGAAGAAGAACCATGAAGAAGAAACCCAGGACAACACCCTGTGCTTCCATCTTGCTTCCATCCACAGCACACTAAAAATCCCAAAACCTAAATTTCTCACCAAGTGATACACCTACACTACTCTCTAGAATCCATGTCACACTTTTGTGGACTCTATCTTGAAGTTTAGGAAACTTTCTCCATGGATGAGGGTCAAAGTCAGTGCTCCCCTGGGGGTCAGGGCACCCCAGAGCAGACAGAGAAATATTCCCAGTGCCCTGGGTTCCCACAGGTACCAGAGCTCACTATCCCCACAACAGAGGCCAGAGAGGAATCAGTGAAATGTCCCTGTGTGCCCTGGGCTTTGTGCTGCAACAGAAGAAGAAACCCCTCCAAGCAGCCCCTGCCCTCCAGACCAGGGCAGTGCTGCAGTCCTGCAGGAGGATCCCTCAGCCCAGGGGGCCTGGAGGGAGCAGCACTGGTTGTGCTTTACCTTGAGGTTTGTCCCTCTGCTTTGGGCTGGGACAGCACCCTCCTGCTCAGAGCTCCCAGTGCTCCTGTAAGGCTTTGGATGACCATGCTCGTGGTGCTTGTCCCTTCTACAGGGATAAAAAGGTCCTTGGTGGCCTGAGATGTCCAGGGAGTCCCTCTGCCTGCAGCAGTAACAGCCCTGAGTTTCACCAGGGGAGGTTTAGGTTGGATATTGGGAGGAATTTCCTCACCCAAAGGAAGGTCAGGCATTAGAACAGCTGCCCAGGGCGCTGGTGGCATCACCATCCCTGGAAGTGCTCCAAAACCCTGTGGGTGTGTGTTGGATATAGCCCTTTCCTGACCCAGAGATGGGACAACTGAGAGGTGATTCAAAAACTTTTATTCCATTTTCAGTCTCATGAGAAGGGTGAGATGATACAGATGTTATAACTCACGCCATCACAACCAGAAGCCAACTATTTCTTAATTACAATATAAGCATTTCTTGGCCTATCAGCTTTAGCCACACCATGCTGTAGATGCCTTAAAGCCAATCATCTAAAGCTACCCCTCGTGGGTCATACTACAGGGCTATCTTTCATAGTTCTATTTCTCCAAAGTATCTAGAATTATTTGCAAGGGGCTTAGGGACACGGTTTGGTGGCAGAGCTGGCAGTGCTGGGGTTGGACTTGATGATCTGAAGTGCCTTTTCCAACCGTAATAATTCCATGATCCCATGATTCTGATTCCATCTTCTGAGGATGTTTACATGGGAAATTGGATTTTGAACCTGTTGAAATGGAAGCTACCATAAACACTTCATCTGGCTCATCAGCCCAAGCCACGGCCCCGAGGCTGCCAGTGCTCCAGGAGTGTTTGGACAATGCTGTGAGGGATGCTCAGGGTGGGGTTGTTGGGGTCTCTGTGCAGGAGCTGGACTCCGTGATCCTTGTGGGCCCTTCCAGCTGAGGATATTCCACGATCCTGTGAAAGAAAAAAGGCATGGGAAGAGGCCAAAGAGGCATTGGCTGCACCTCTTCCCCACAATCCACCCCATTTCAGCCAAGTTCTCAGCTTGGCTCTCCCCTGGGTCTCTGCGGCTGCAGCCTCCCCAGGGATGCTGTGTGTGGGTATGGCCGGGGTGTTCCCACTGCTGGGACCACCCAAGGCAGGGACAGGGACAGGGAGGTGCTGTGGGGCTGGGAAGGGCACAAGTGTGTGAATCCTGCACAGAACTGAGGGGAGGTGACTCCACAGGTGCTGGGGACATCGGTGCCTCCAGCAGTGGGTCAGTCCCTGAGGTGCAGCTCAGTCTGTGCTGTGAATTCATCCCCCTTCCTGTGCTGATGGCTGTGCTGGTGTCTGAAGGCCACAGAGCTCCTGTGGAAGAGCAGGAGCACAGCCTGTGGATGCTGTATCCATGACAACAGCTCCTTCCAGCCACCCCAGCCAGCTGACAGCAATTCCAAGTGGCCATCCCAGTGCTGATGGGGGGAATGGGGCTGGAGCACTGGGCTGGGCTGTAGGACTGAGTCCCCAGCCCTGCCAGCTGCCTGTGGGGTGACTTTGTCTGAATCTGTTGAGTTTTGTGTCTCAGCTTTTAAATTATGTCCATGATTTTGACATTTTCCACAATAGGCTTTGGGATCAGCTGGAGCAAAGTGCCAGGTGAGAGCTGGGGTTACTGAGCATGTCCTGCTCAAGTCACAGCCCCCTCAGCCAGGGAAATAAGATTTTTCCAGAGCAGATCTGGCCAGCATAATTTGCTGAATCCTTGGATTTGCTCCCCTCTGGGGGGAAGAGGCACATCCAGTCTCTGATGTGGCAGAGTTCTTGTGCAGGAACTGCACTGGAGGTGAGAGCAGGGCTGCCAGGAGGTCAGGCTGGGCTCTGCTCTCCAGCCCTTCCAGCCCCTCCTCCAGACACCTGGAGGAAACACATCCAGCACGGGCATGGAAGCTTCTGGAGTGGCTCCAGAGCAGGCGCCGAGGTGATCAGAGGGATGGAGCAGCTCTGCTCTGAGCAAAGGCTGAGAGAGCTGGGGCTGTTCAGCCCGGAAAAGAGAAAGCTCTGGGGTGATCTAATTCCAGCCTTGCAGTGCCTGAAGGAGCCAACAGGAAAGATGGACAGAAACTATTGACAAGGGCCTGGAGTGACAGGACAAGGGGGAATGGCTTCAGTCTGACAGGGAGTGGGTTTGGGTTGGATATTGGGAAGGAATTGTTCCCTGTGAGGGTGGGCAGGCCCTGGCACAGGGTGCCCAGAGCAGCTGGGGCTGCCCCTGGATCCCTGGCAGTGCCCAAGGCCAGGCTGGACAGGGCTTGGAGCAGCCTGGGACAGTGGAAGGTGTCCCTGCCATGGCAGGGGTGGAATGGGATGGGCTTTAAGGTCCTTCCAACCCATTCTGTGATGATTCTGTGATGAAATAGGTCCTGTCCCCCAGAAGGGGCCTTCCACCAGCAGCACCCCTTCTATCTGGACCAGAACTCCCAAGCAGGCTGGACCTCTGGACAGGTTCTGGCTGCAGCAGGTGAAGTGGGGCAGCCACAGGAGACCATCCACACCCTCCAAGAGCATCCCTAGAGACTGACACCGGGCTCAGTGCCTGGATTTGGAGGGTTTGCTTGGTGCACGTGCACAGAGGGAGTCACAGAGCAGAAGAGGAGCTCTGGCTGCCCCTCTGCCCCACAACACACTTGCTTAGAGTGTCCTGCCCTCTTTCAGTCATTTCTGTATCATGCCATCAGCAGGTGGCATATATCTGAAGAGGGTGACCAGCAAACTGTCATAAACACCCCTCAGAAATATTATTTGAAGTCCCTTCCATAAAAAGAAACTGGAGTTTGATATATGTGCAGAGCACAAAGAATGGGCTCCAGCAGCACATTTTGAAAATCACTGCTTTAGGCAATCTCCTTAGCAGCTTGTTAGATGTTTTATAAGTGTCCTTCCCAGCTCCAAAAGAAATAATACCACTAATGATTGTGTCAGATACAAAATAATTTCACAGCCCTTTTTGTCTGCCAGCTTTCCAATCTCAATAAATCACGTGCCCTTCTGTGCAGCTGAAGGAATCCAAATCCCAAGGAGCAGGCGGCTTGGCTGGGAAAGAAAATAAAAATAGGAACGACACCGGGGCCATTTTTTTCCTGTATTAATTCCAGCAATACTTTGTTTGCCTTAGCAAGCCGGGCCTTGCTGAGCTGG